CAATGTCTTTCTCCTCTCATTTTCCAAATTCTTAAAGTTCTAAATATATTTGATTTTCGAAATTACAGAAATTCTAAGTTCTTGAATCATGAACTCCTCAAACGCTGAATTTGAATTTCCAATTTTTCGAATTGGACACTGAAAAAAAATCCCTAAATAAGTGTGTTGAAACCTTTTTATAATTTTAGGTACTATAAGCGGAGCCCAGGAGGTTCAGCCCCGGAGGGGCGCAAACCGACTGGTTTTTTTTTCATTCATGACTCATAAAACTAGCCAAAAATCGTTTTGCTTATCTTAAAAATCAATTTTTTTTCAAATAATAAGGAAACCTCTAACATTGTCATGTGAGATTTTAGTTCAAATTGGAAAACATACAACAAAAAACCGATAACAAAAAAATTATAAGACATCAGTGATCAATTTTTGGAAGCCCTTAAACAATTTTGTTTTGCAAATTTAAGATTTTCATCATTTTGATTTGGCTGAAATTTCAGATCTATAGAAATTGTTAGAAATTCATTTTCGTTTTTTTAAAGTTCATAAACAAACTAACTGATGTCTACATAATATCAAAACCGTAAAGTGTTGTATTCTTAAGAATTATTTGGAACGGAAAATATTATCATTTTATCAGTACTCTTTTGTTCCTTATCTATGTTTCCAGAACCTCCAAAAGAAATTTGCAAAAATACACTGTTTCAGGTATATAATATTTTGTTATCATAATTCTGGAAAATTGTTCAGAAATTCCTCTTCAGAAGCTCCTCCCCCGCAACTCTACGTCGCGGTTTTTTGCAGTTCTGCGGCGCGATTCATCATTTTCTGTATAAAGTATCGATCAACAATATATACGAAAAAGAAATTTTTATGTGATTTTTGGCCATTTCGATTATTTCCAGGAGGTTAGAGCTCGAAACTTTCAGAGCCATTCTAGACAAAACTAACTTCTAAAAATCAAGAATATAATACAAGAAACTGAAAAACCGCGCGGCAGTGTTGCAAAAACTATTGAATCAAAAATATTAAATTTAAAAACTTTCCTGTTTCAATAGTTTCAAACTTTTATTCTTTGAAAATATTGGAAGCCGTCGTCTTAAAATTCATAAATTTCTGTAAAATAACGATAAATTTTGAAAAATTACTGAAACTGGAATTTTTGATTTTCTAAAGTTTGAGCATTTTTTTTGATCCAGATATCTATGAGAGGAACCGAGATAAATTGTGTCAAAGTTGAAGGACCTTTTTGTTACAGGTTTTAAGGTACCATGAATAATCAACAACTAACACCAATTTCAAAAAATTTTAACCATTAACACCTTTTCAAAACCGTAAGAAATTTATTTCCTTTTCGGAATTGTATACTGTAGTTGACCATACGTATTGACCATTCGGATTTTTTTCCTCTACCTTTTGAGAGGGTCAGTCTTCACAATTTTGTGATGCTTATTTCCTGATCAGTTTTCTGCCCAATCACCTATAAGAAAAATTTGTAAAAATAAAATTATTAGAAATAATGAAACTGTGAAAATTCTTATTTATCAGTCTGAGGCTTGTCAGATCACTTATCAGAAATTTAGCCTTGAAATTACTAAAACAGTGAGACTGTAACTTTTTAAAATTTTCCATTTTCTGAAAATTCCAGTTTCACCTAACGCATAACTTTTGGAACCTTTCCAGATTACACAGTTCGGGTAAAGCTCAACTATGAAAAAACTCACTAGTCAGTTATTCATTGAAATTAGGAAGCGGTGAAAGTCTATCGGATCACTTATCGGAACTCTCGTCTTGAAATTATAAAAATAGTGAAACTGTATTTTTGTTTTATCGAAAATTCTCTTTTCTAAAAATTCCAGTTTCACCTAATGCATAAGTTTTGAAACTTATCATGTTACATAGTGCAGTATCATTCCGGCGTTTTTCAATTTTCCTGTATTGCGAAATTCGTCATTTCTCTCTAAAAATGACTCACCCAGTTATTCTATGAATTTTTATTCAAAAAAGAGAAAAAAAAGTGGAAAAATGATCGGGTTAGAAAACTGGTTCTTTTTCAGTTATGTTTTATATGATGACTGACAAGGTGATGGGGGAAAAAGTGAACATGAGTTTTTGGGAAAAAATCTGTTTCAAGGATTCTGTAACTTTCTTTTTTTTTGACTAATCGATTTTGCATATATTCAAAAAACGTTTTCCTTAAAGGTGGTGTACGGTGAAATTTTTTATTGCATCAAAATGTGCAGAAATGTATGTAGATTGATATAAAAATAAAGAAAAAATTCGAAAAAAATTTCTTCATCGAGAAAAACGCATCGAAAAATACGCTGAAAGCCCTTAGGGACGAGGTTTTTTCTAGGCCGCCCGGTGAGTAAAAGCGCGCGAATTCAAACTTTTAAAATTTTTTCGCTCGTTTTCAC